TAGTGTTATGATCTTACCCATTTTGGACTATAGTCTTAACTTCTGGCATGTTATCGGTTAACGGTATCGGTTCTTAAAATAAGTTATCGTGCGTCCCTAGTATTTAATTGTAAACACACTTCACTGTGCTAACACAGTTTTTAACACAGAGACTCATCAATGATGTAAAGGTTTACTGGCATTTTCAAAGCCAACACAAACTCTGTCTGTTCTGCCTCAATGGTTCAGATCAGAAACAGCTGACCATTGGGCCTTTTATTCTACAGTGCCATTAAGTTTGGTTCAAATTTCACAGATTGTCTCAGTTATAAAAGGTGATTCTTTTTAAGTGCTCTGTCTAAAAGTGCAGCGTTGCACAMGTGCTGGTGTGTCAGTGCACAGGTTTATTCCTCCAACACCACAGGCAGAACTGTTAGGAAACGTCATGAGTCACAAGCTCATGGCAACACTTCCTGAAATGATCCAGCTGCTCAGTCAGCAGCAGGAGGTTCCTGCCTCTCCTGTTCTTATCCTACAATCTGCTGCCTGTTTAACTGGGGCTGGTGACTCCAACTGGTCAAACTAACTCCAGGCATYTAATGACACACCCACTTGTGTTTTCTGTTCTACAAAGAAATAACAATAAACGCTCTGATACATAAACTGGACATCTTTAAAGCCTTTAGAAAAGTTGGGTTYTGACTTATTTTATTTAATAAATTTAAAATCTGCATTTTCATTTTAACAAAGTGCTGTCGCTGACCTAGTTTCACACAAATAAGGTAACTACAAATTCTAATTTGCAGAGCAAACGAGCAGCTGTATCTTTCCTAACATGAAATTTAAGGAACTATCAAGAGTCAGTTACTGAGAAACAATCCTGAACAAACTTTCATGTCATGTAGAGGGGTTCAACAACATTTAAATCAGGATGCAACCATCATGAGGATGCACAGAAACACAGCAGACACACAGAACGAGTCTTCTCTTAAAAGTCATTAATTCTGTGGATTCAAATACCTTATTTATGACCAGCGTTGCACATAAGCAGTGCGCAGGTACGCATGTGCGATCAAAAAYAGAAAAAGCGCACCAGATGGAACGACATTAAGCTCACTTGCGTACCTAAGATTGTATCTGATTGTCTGTCAAAACAACAGCTAGCAGGGCTCTAGAGTGCGACCAGTTTGGTCGCAAATGTAACCTGATTTCTTTAAAAAGATAAAATCCAGCCGCACTGGTGGATCTGCATCGTTGTTCGGTGCTCACCAAGCCTCGGGACAGTGGGACCCTGATATAAGGATTAAATGGARACTGCCTRCAACAAATCAGACGAAGTCCAGAGCTGTTTTATCCAATCAGAGCAGAGCAGGGCGGGACTTTCAGAGAGAGCGGTTTTCAGCAGAGGCAAAGGTTGAAGCAGCGGCTTGAGCAGCGGCTGCAGCGGTCGGTCCTGACTCCTCCTGCACTTTGCTCCTGAACTACCAGAGACTTTGGTCTGTAAAACATAACTTTATATTAAATATGTGTTCTGACCGTCGTTATCAAACAGATCTGTCCAACTTTATGTGAGTGACTAAACTCTCTTCCTGATGAGAGACTTCTGTGAAGGGAGCARGTCACTGCGCAGGCTGAGTCTTTCTGTGAGARTCACTGTTTGAGTTCTTCTAATTAAACCACATTAACTCTAACAGAACATTAGTTTGCCCCATATTAAAGCAAAGATGATTCTCTAATACCCCCATCAAAATATATAATATAATGGGTGAACCGATACAGAAAATTCACGATTTGGTTCGGTTCGATACTTTAGTCTCACAGTTTGATATTTTTTCGATACAAAAAAGAGAAATTTCCATGCCCTTTTTTACTTGTAATTTATTGAAATT